AATTTGCCAGGCTGAAGCTCCTGGTGCACAGTAGGCCGGAAGAGTAGCATGCAAGGGCTGTAAGCACGTCTATAAGGTCCGGCCCACTTATGCTGTGTTAGGCCTCTGGAGTCAATCGCTTGCTCAGGGGTGGTCCATGTTTGAGTATCAGTCCATGGAGCTTTGAGTCTGGGCAGTGCCTTCAGGCCTGGGTATGTGCTGGCTTGCCTGAGCAGGGTCTGTAGACCCCCCCACCCCCACTTAAGACAGCTTTCCTCCTAGGCCAGCAGGAATGGGGAAGTCCTTGCTGTCTGACAAATGATGTTTCTCCTCTTCAGGAGCGGTTGCTCATGAGCCTCTTGCCCCGGAATGTCGCCATGGAGATGAAGGAAGACTTCCTGAAGCCCCCAGAGAGGATTTTCCACAAGATTTACATCCAGAGGCATGACAACGTGAGGTAGGGATGGCACCAGCCCAGCCCAGCTCAACAGTGTACTGGGGGGTTTTTCAGGGCAGAGGTGATGAGGTGTGTTTTTGGGGGGTGGAGAGTAGAGGAGCTGAGAAATGGATGAAGATGTGGGAAGGGAGAGATGGGGAGGAGGACAGGGGAGCTGTAATGTTTCTGTAGTTTAGGGGGAGAGAGGAGATATGGTCAAGAAGCTCAGGTGGGCAGGTGTCCAGCAAGGAAGCTGGTCCCATGTAGAGGAGGCTGTGGCATCTTAGGTGGCACATGCCAGCTCTTTTTCACACGCCTTCCGTCAGTACTTGCTCTTCCGACGTTAATAGGGAGACAGAACTTGGTTCCAAAGATTGGGTTTTTGTGGTGGGCTGGGGATTCTCCATTTCTGAATAATGGCCAAGTATTGCTTGACACGGGCTCTTCCTCCTCACTTTCTTCATCTCCTCAGCCCAAGGAGGGCGAAGCTGTTGTTTCTATTTTAGAGGCAAGGAACCTGAGCCTTCCATATGAACCAGCATGTGGATAGGTTGATTGAAATTTGCTTGCTTAGAAAGATTCTGTTGAAACTATTTGTCTTTATGTATTGTATAGTCTTTAAAAAATACTTTTTTATTATAGCTTAATGCACTTAGAATAGTTCTCACCTGTTTGGGATTGCCACCATGTAAGTGGCACTCAGGGTGGACACAAAGTACTTTCTGTTCATTTGTTCTTTGATGGCTCTTCTGGGTGTTGGCGTCAGGACTCCCAGCCTTTGGCCCCTGAAGACATGAAAGCATGTGAAACACTCTCTTACCTTAGGTAGCACAGGTTCATACTATAGAACATGTTAATCAGTTCTCAGAAAATGTTATCACACACCAAAAAATGAAATGATAAAAATTTAGAGGCTAGGATGAAAACTTTAGAAAAAGAAGTTCTATTTATGGGTAATCAAGTTCAAAATATTAAGGTTAGATTAACTGTCTCTTGTCATTCACTATTTAAATGGATTTATATCTCTCCGCTTACATACAGTAGCTTCTAAGATAACCTAGGCACAGGTTAGGTTCTACCTCCATGGCCTATGGAACAATCTTGAACTAGCGATAAACGTGCAGTCTTTGCATCAACAAAGTATAGCCATTAATTCAGCTCAATTGGAGTCCACCTTGGCTTCTGAGGTTACACACAGATTTTTACAATCTCTCACTTCTTTTGTTCAGGACAGAGCATTTGGCCTATTATCGTTAATTTGGGAGTAATCCTAGGAGTTGTGCTTATTTTGATTCTTGTCCTTCCAGTCATCTTTTTAAAACAAAAAAAGCGGGGAGATGGCACAGCCATATCTGTGGGAACAGCAGAAGTCATAAAGCCAGCACAGCTGCTTGACAAAGATCCAGCCAAGCTGAGCCACATGATGGCTGCCATGCCACCTTTGGTTTTCATCTCCACCTGTTGCATACTTGGGGCACTTTTAATATTTGTACAATTTGAGGATATTGGATTGATGGAAAATTCCTTATGAATCATTTACACCTTCTCCCAGGAATGCTGCTTTTAGGCTCACCCAGGAAAGATCTGAACATACTATTTCTCCCACTTTGAGGGAGATATCCTTATCTACTTGAAGGTCTTCCTTATACCTTGGAGGTTGTGACACATAAAGAAGCCAGAGGTCTCCTCATGAGGCTATGAGACTTTCTTGAAGCATCTGTCCCTGTACTTACACTAGAACAAGATATTCAAAACAAAGTAAACTCAAAAAGGTCAATAAGATTCGGAGGGCTAGAGGAGTTGGCCACAGTTCAGATTACAAGCCTCTTCCCACTGTACACTCAGACAATTACGTGGCATCCAACTCTGCCCTACATAGATACATATTGGTGTCAAAATATGGAGTAGAAAGATGATAAAAGTATGAGGTGTCAGAACTTCCCTCTCTTAGAAAAGTTAGCTCATGCAGAGCCACTCTAATGTCATATGATCAAGGAACAACAGAATGCCAGGATTAGACATATAGACAAATCCTATAAAGATATAAATGTGAACATTGATTGTATTATGCCAGAATTTGAATAATAACTGCAGCAGTTATTATTCACTCTGATCACTAAGAGTTAAGAATACAATACTTGGGACATGGCAAAATGCCCAGGGTGATTGAAGATTTTTGTTTTGGTCTAGTGTCCTTGAAGCAACCAAAGCTATCAGCCTGAGAATAGGCTGTTATATACCTCTAGATTCTTAAAAATTGGGTTATGGGGTTAATGAGTAAGAATGATGACTGTTTATTAATGATGTCAAAACTTGAGGGAAAAAGATTGGAAATGATAACTCTCTTCTGTCATAGTTTATTAATAATGACTAAAAGATGAGCAAAAGGAAGTGAAACACAAGTCCAAAACCAAAAATGATATGATCTATGTTTTGGAACATCATGGATGTATTCCTGCTTACTAAATTCTGTATAAATAAAGGAACACTCTGGCTGCCGGTGAGTCAGGCTGCAAGAATCTCCAGACCATCATGGCCTGGCTCACTTCCATCCCCCACCGACTCCTTACACCCTCTGCGGGACCCATCCACTGCCAGGGATGGCTCCTGGCAGTTAGGGCTTGTGAAACATCAGTGTGTGAGCCTGCAGGCAGAGCCTGTGTGGCTAACCAGCCTACAGATCTGGCTCTGTGCACATCTGTGAATTCTTTCATTCCCTGCTCTCATGCAGTTTGATAGGGACCAGTGCTGTCCTCCCTCCGCAGAGGAGGATGCTGAAGTGGTGTGGGGTTAGGGCCCAGCTGTTTGGAAAGTAGCCACGGAGCCAGCGTTTGAACTTAGACGGCTCCAGAAGCTCCTTGCAGAGTCTGGTGGTTTGCTACCCTCTCGCTCCCGTGAGCAGCTGGCATTGCTGCCAGCATCGTGGAAATCAGGAAATTGAGATTCAGCCATGTGAGACAAATGTGCAGGATGCCCCGGGCAGTGGGTGGAGGGCTGGGCGCAGGATTAGCTGACGCTCGCATTTGCTTTACTTCCCTTACTGCACCTGCTGATCCTTGTTAGTTGGAAAGGACAGAATTCAGTACCCCAGCTGCTTGCCGAGGAGGAGCACCAGCCACCAGAACGTTTCAAAGTGAACCTGGAGGGCATACTGTAGGAGGGCGTCTCAGTTGAGGGCCTTCTGGTAACCTGAGTGAGTAGGGTATCATTGGCCTACTGCTTGTTCAACAAAGCAGAAAGATAAACAAATACACAAACCAGCGCTGCAGCTTCCCCGTGTCTTAGTTAAATTTCTGTCACTGTAATAAACACCATGGCCAAAAGCTAGTTGTGGAGGAAAGGGTTTATTTGGCTTACACCTCCACATTGTAATTCATCATTGAAAGAAGTCAGGGCAGGGACTGGATGCAGCGACCATGGAGGGATGCTGCTTACTGGCCTGCGCCCCATGGCTTGCTCAGCCTGATTTCTTATAGAACCCAGGACCACCAGGCCAGGGGTGGCTCCACCCACAAAGGGCTGGACCCTCCCTCATTAATCACTAATTAAGAAAATGCCCTACGGACATACCTAAAGCCCCATCTTATAGGAGCATTTTCTTAGTTGAGGGTCCCTCCTCTCGGATGTGTGGTGGGTAGCTGTTCCAGCTTTGACCTGGAAGTACTACCCCCATTGAGGCTTCCGGTAATGGTCACACCTACGAGGCAGGGCGGAGAGAGGAGCCCTTAAGACCTGAGATCTGGATGTGCTGGCTCTCTTGGTTCCCAAATCCTGGACACTGGAGGTAGACCGAGCAGAGTTCTCCAGAGAACACCGCTGGACTGCACTATACCTTTCCCAGACCCTGTAACCTATCCCTTTACTTGTAAGTTACCCCACAAAATAAATCCACCAATACAGATGACTTTAGTTTGGGTCAAGTTGACATAAAACTATGCAACGCACTCTGGGAGGGAGAGAATCTGTCAGGGTGACCAGTTTCCCATCTGCTCTGGGGCTGCCCACATCCTGTCTTTGAGTCCTGAATTTCTGAGAGGTCTGATTCAGTCTTGGTTTGCTGGGGAAATAGAGGTAGGGCTTGTGCTGGAAGAAACCCCAACTCTCACACACGTGTCCCCTGCTCAGGACAGTGTGAACTGATGGAACCCACAGCTGCCTACTGGAGACACCAAGAGTTGATAAAGGGCCTGAATAAGTGTCGTGGTTGCTCTCTTATGGGGGGCTGGTCTCTAAAGGTTGTGAATGAAGAGCCAGGCAAAGACGCCCCAGACAAAGGAGGAAGATAGACCTGTAGATACAGATCTGAGAAAATGCACTTACATGGATTACTTCATAAGAGAATAAAAATAATTCTCATGAAGATAGAAAAGAATTATGCACAAGGAAAATGAGAATTTCAACAAGAAAATAAAAGCATGAAGGAGTACCAAGTCGGAAAGCTTAAGACTGTAGCAACCAAATATAAAATTCCCTGGAGGAGAATAGAGACTCAAGCAGGGGAAAAAAAAAAAAAAAAAAGATTAGTGAACTGGAAGACGGGTCCATGGAAGGTCCCAGGCAGAGGGTCAAAAAGAGAAAAAAGAATCTCATGAGGGGATATGAGAAGTCAGCACTGGGCCCAAACACACATTATAGGAATTGCTAAAGAAGAAGAGCAGGAAGAGGGGACATAAAGCTCTTCTTCTTCTTCTTCTTCTTCTTCTTCTTCTTCTTCTTCTTCTTCTTCTTCTTCTTCTTCTTCTTCTTCT